TGGCGAAGGCATAACGACGTTGGAAACATGCGGAACTAGTGCCATTCGGTCGTAGCGCGAACGGGCGAAATGAGAATAGGTCCAGTTGCGAAAAATACAATTGGATCTTATGAGAAGGTTCAAACAAGTCAGACCAAATGAAAATGGGACGAAATGCGCAAGGTTCAATTGCGAATGGGACATTTCCAGATAACAGGCAAAATGAGAATGGACCCAGTTGCAAAAAAAAAACGATTCGGATCTTACGAAAAGGCTCAAACGAGAAGGCCCAAATAAGAATGGGACGAAATGTGCAAGGTTCAAATGCGAATGGGACGTCTTGAGATACACCCAAAAAATTGTGCTTCATCTTTCTTTTCTTCACTTAATATACCAGCGTTGTGAGTGCGCACCTGTCTGTGTTCTGTGTTCCTCCCTCGTTCATCCTCGTCTCTTTGTGCGCGATTTTTAACCATGCTCTTTATTGTCACCAAGCCCTCACTGGACACTCGCCAATTTGTGTCATGTTACACCAGTTGTCGAACAGGAAAGTTGCAGAAATACATCCATTGCCACACATGTCTTTGCATGGTCTGCTTCTACTAGGCAAACTCCTTCGAGCACCAGCAAAAGCTTCTCTCCTTTGACTCGGCACAACAGGGTGCAAATTTATCAGCTTGTCATGTGGACTACACAATTAGCAAGGTTTTGATACATTTTTGATAGTACAATGTCTGAAATACCTGCAAGCTTGCTATACAATTAGGCCTTTCAGAAATATGTTTTAGACTGTACTGCAAATGCAGGTTAGAAAAACAGACACTTAGTTGCAGGGGCATCAGAGATAAATAGCAAGTTCTCACCAAGGCTTCAATAGGGGGGCCCATGACTTGCTCCAGAACCCTAGGACTCGGCTGACTGGTGTACATAAAAGGAAGAAAAATGTCAATGACAAGCTCAGAACACCAAGAAAACTATGCCTCATTCGTCCAAGCAGCTGATCAGCATAGGAAAGCACATATGGCAATGTTGATTTCTCAGGAAAGGGAGGCTCAAGAGCTTGCCCGAGCTGGCTGCCACTTGTAGCTGCCGCCCCTTGTGGTTTGTGGGCCGCATTCTTCTTTCCAGCACTAGGGGGCCTGCTGACGCTGAGTCGAGCCCTTTCGCGATGCAAATCAAAAGATATTAAAGCAGCAGATGTGAGTAATGACAAGCTTGTTGAACCTAAGAGAATATGGTTGAATTCTTGGAGCACCTGAGAAGCATGACGAGAAAATCTAAAGAAAGCAATTTCTTTTTGAAAGGAAGGCTCAAGAACTTCCCTGAGCTGGCCGTCACTTGTAGCTCACGCCCGTTGTGGTTTGTGGGCCAAGGTCTTTTTACCAGCACTGGGGGGCGTGCTGACGCTGGGTCGAGCCCTGTCACGATGCCGATTGGAAGATATGAAAGCAGATGTTAGTGATGACAAGCTCGCTAAACCTAAGAGAGTACGGTTGCATTCCCAAAGCACCTAAGAAGCATGACGAGGAAATCTGAACGAAATAATTTCTTTCTGAAAGGAAGGCTCAAGAACTTGCCAAAGCTGGCTGCCATTCGCAGATGCTGCCCTTTGTGGATTGTAGGTTGCAGTCTTCTTTCCAGCACTGGGAGGCTTGCTGATGCTGGGGCGAGCCCTGTCAAGATGCCGATAAGAAGATATGAAGGCTGGAGATATTACTAACGACAAGCTCATTCAACCTACGTGAACAAGGTTTAATTCCTAAAGCGCCAAAGAAGCACGACGAGACGATAAAAAATTAGTAATTCCTTTCTGAAAGGAAGGCTCAAGAACTTGTCCAAGCTGGCTACCACTTGTAGCTGCCACACCTTGTGGTTTGAGGGTCGGAGTCTTTTTTCCAGCATTGAGAGGCGTGCTGATGTTGGGTAGAGCCCTGTAGATGTCGACCAGTAGTTATGAAAGCAGGAGAGATGTTATATAATCGTGACTGATAAAAGAACACAATTTACTGAAGCTGCTGCAAATGGGCGAATTTCTCATAAAGAGGAGGAAAAGAACTTACCCCAGCGTGCTGACATTTGCCTGTTGTGGTAGGCGTGCCTTGGCGATGTGGAGTCCATCATCGTCTGTATGAACATTCACAAATTAGAGGCTCAGAGATCATTCTATATAATTGCTAACAAGCAAGCTTATCAGCATCATCACATACCAAACTTCGAAAGGAGCGTCCAAGAAAGGGCTGCTCTTAATCTCCGCTCTTCTTCCAACTCCTTCCTTGAAGCCGCTAGTTCTGCTCGTACTCTTTCCAGCTCCTTCTCAAGCTGAGCATTCGCCTGCTTCTCAATCGTCAGTAGCTTTCGAGGCACAAGCTCTTCGTCGTCATCATCACTCGTCTCACTCAGTGCCACCTGTCTTCTCTTTCCCAGAATTTCCTTCATTTATTTTTTCCTCACAACCTTCTGGGCAAGTGCCTTTTCCTTCCTTGAGATTGCATGAGTTGCCTGGAAAATGTATATATTACTACTAATCTGAGACATATAGGTAGAAGGTTACCTGAATGGCAGTCTTTGGGTCCTCAAAGATCACAAGAAGAGCAGTGCCTCTGGACTTCAGGAGGTAATGGATCATATCCTCCTTACTTTCTGTTTTAGAAAAAAACAAGAAATTAAGTTGGGAGATTTTTACTGAAACTCTATCATCGACTGCTGATCAACGCAGGAAGGACATTTGCTGCTCAGAATTTTTGCTTATTGCTGCACGAAGACCACCGCATAATCGGCTGTGCAGGTATGCTCTATTTTCCATGGCGACGTCACGATGCACAAAACAAGCAAGTCGTGTAAGCCACATATTCAATAATAAAAGTATAGTAGTCTATTAAATGCGTTTTTTATGATCACTAAACATCAAAAGATGCACTGATTAGCCCTTTCAGCGCGGAAGATGACCTGAGCTTGTCCATCACACGAGTACAGCTCATCAAGAGTCTGCGATATCAATGCAACTATCTCTAGGACGTATCAGTCCGTGTGTATCTCGAAGCTTCGTTGAACAGCCGACAGATGGCAGGGGAAGTAAAAAGAAAACAGAGCCGTTTATCGAGAGAGTTTGGCCATACATTGGTTTGAATAGGCGAGCATCTCGGGGCCAACCACAGGCCGCGAAACAGCCCCTAGCGGTGGTCGTGAGCTCTAAATTTGTGACACGACTAATTCAAGCCTTTTTAGCGTCGCTAGAGTTAAAAGGTGTAACTCTCAGTGACTGAAAACTTTGTGCGTGCGAGGTTTTCGTCACGCCAACATTCAAGTGTAGAATAATCGAACGTGCGCTCCAAACCAGGGCCAACTTGCTAGAAACAGCGTCTCAGCTGAGACGGTGAAAGAAAGCACTGCCAAAGCCAGCGCAAGAGCCGAGCAAGACACCGCGTCTCCAGGACGCTGTTCTAACAAGCCAACATCAGCAGTGCAGAGAAAGGCATGGGCACGAGCGCGTGGCTTTGGAAAGTGGCTCCTACGCACGAGTTCACATACAAACAAAAGCGTTTTGCTGAGCTAGGTTCACGCGCCTGTACCTTTGTCTTCACTGCCGACATTTGTGAGATGAAGCAGAGAGGCCGAGATTGAACGCCTCTATTTCACGCTTTGAATGTCGTTTGCAATATTCTGACGTCGCGGTCTCCTGATTGGTCGACGCTGTGTCACAAATTTAGTTTACGCTCTAAGCGCGGGGGGAATATTCGGCGCTGGCGGCGGCCTTTGCTCCGCCTGTTGGCCAAACTCTCCCAATACACGGCTCTGAAAGAAAAGAGCCAAAATTAGTAGATTAATTTAGACATTTTCCCATGAGGCCTGCTGCACTGGATCGCTAATTATTTTGTCATTTTCCATGTTTTGAATTAGAACTAGTGTCTCTCCATACGTGGATTGGGGTACAAAGTTGAGAATTTAGTGTCACGAAAAGGGTATCCTGGGGAGCGTCTTAAGGCAGCCCCCTCCCGCGTTCACGGTGCTTCGCGGCGACAGTGTGCGGCTGCTAATAACAAAACTATTAACCCACATGCCCGTCCAGCCGGCAACCCAAGCCCCGCTGTCCCCGATTGCACCTCCGGAAAGAAAGTCCCGCCCTACTTAGTTCAGCAAAACTTCCTCAACATTCTTGTTTTGAGTGTGTGTTTATTGTAATAAAAATTTTTCTAAATATCGTTCAATGCTCAACAAAAAGAAGGAAGAAGAAAAAGAAGGAAAAAAGAAGGAAGGAAGAAAAAGAAGGAAAAAAAAAAGTAAGCTTCACTGGGGATCGAACCCGACCCAACCGGGGACAGGAACATGTGAAGCAGAGACGTTACCACTTTACTGCACCACCGCTTCGAAGACTCTTTCCAACCAGTCGTGTTTCACGAGTTTCGCGTCATGCGTAAATCCATTACCGATCGAGGTGCATGACGTCGCGCGTATAGCTTAACTCATATTTAAAAGTGCCTTACCTTCCACCTGCAGAATTAGGGCTGAATAATACCCTTCCTCTGTTCCCTGGGGACTCCTCCAGTAGGTCTCGTACAGGTGCGCCTTGTCGTAATCCGAAACGCTATTGGGGCTGAAGTTTCGGATCAGCGTCACGGACACGACCGCCTTGAGGTTATCCTCCGCATAGCGCACATGAGCAAAGATCACTAGCGCTGCCGCGCTGCCACGCTGCTACTAGGCTATCAAAATAAAGAGGTACACCGAAGAACTGCTCTCAAAACAATAGGGTACACTGGAGAGCTTCTGCATCAAAGTACGAAGAGCAGATTCGTATGCGTGCGGGACGGGGACTAATCAACTTCACGTATGGACGACATAGCGCGCCCTCTAGTCATGACACCCAGGGAATTACTATTGAAAAATGAGGTATGGTAACCAAATGGGGAACCCAAAACTGGATGTAAACATGAAAACACTTAAACAACCATCGCTTTCACTTAAACTGACATGAATATTTCTTATCAGTCCACCATTCACTTTTGAGCAATGTACATCCCCGAATGAATGTGATATGTTGGCTATTCATGCCGCGAGTCAACGTTGGCTCAGGTACGCTTTGAAGTCGAGTTGAGTCGAGCGTCTGCATGCTCTTCTTCGTGACTCTCTTAGCCGAGTTGAGGTTGTGCACGGAGTCCCTTGCTGTTCTAGGTTTTCTATGTCAAACCAACCGCGGAAATGGTCAAGAAAGAAGTACTTGGAGCCTAATGAAGCTTTCATCGTTCCGTCGTCAACACGGCGTTTCCGAAGTAGGCTGGCCTGTACACCTCATGAGACTGCGGAAGAACATCAAGCCTCAACTACAGATTGCGAACCCGAGAGCACAATAAATCTGACTGGTGCAGTAGCTGCAGAAGCAACGGAAGACGATGCAGGCTCATCTGAAGGTTGACCCCAGTTCGGCGATGTAGGCAGCAACGGCACGCAGCCTGACAACTGGGACGATAGCCTGCTCGACGACACACTTCAGGAAGACTCTGCTGTCGATGCCGCGGAGATTGTGGCCTGCTGGTTCGAAAATTTGCAGCATGCGATTCTGCCGATATCTAACATCAGCAAGGCAGAGGTACTAGCCATGGTGATGACGTTTCTGACGTCCGAGAACCTGACGTGGAGCGGCTTAGATAAGCTGCTCCTAATGATCAACCTTATATGCGGAATGGAGGTGCTTCCCCGAACGAATTACCTGTTCCGGAAGCTGTTGGCCTCTAAACTGAATCGTTCAACAGACTACTACTACTGTGAGTTTTTCGAAGGTTTCCTTCCGACGCCGGAGGATGGGGCTTCCACGATTATCTGCACAACGTGTCATAAGCGTACCACAATCTCGGAGCTTCACAGCAAAGGGAACTTCTTCACAATCCTCGACGTGTGGGACCAAGTGCGTGAAGTCGTCAGCAAGACGTCAGATGAGCTGTACAGCAAGTTGGAGAGGCTGAAAAGCAATCCAGAAGACACGATGTCGGAAATAACCGATGGGAGTGTTTACAGAAAAATGAAAGCCAGTGGACCATTGCAGTGGGGAGACTTGACAATGACGTTCAATACAGAGGGAAGCCAGATTTTCATGTCTTCAAAGGCCTCTGTCTGGCCACTGCAGTTTGTCATCAACAAAGTGCCTGCTCCAGACCGTTTCTCAGCCAGTGGTGGCGCTGGCATCTGGTTCGGAGCGAAGCACCCAGACATGTCTCTTTTTCTGGTCAAGTTTGCGGAGCATCTGTGAAGCATGGATTCCATCATTTGGCAAGCAAAATCAAAAATGGCGTCATCCAAAGTTTATGCTATCTGTTGTTGCCTCGATGCTTCAGCCCGTGCCGCAGTACAAAATCAAGTGCAGTTCAACGGGTACTTCGGTTGCCCACGGTGCATGGTTGCTGAGGAACACTTGGAAGGTAAATATTTAATTATGTATGTCACATTAAGAGCTTTGCGCCAAGCATGCTTTACTTTTGCTTTCACCCAGTCTGCTTGCTTACTTGCTCTTGCTATTGTGGTATATTTCTTACCAGGTGCTATGCGGTTTCCAGAGGCTCATCAAATCGAAGAACGCACGCACGAGCTTGTTCTGCGGGACATGAAGTATGCGGTCACCTATGAAACAACGGTGAACGGCTTCAAGGGACCTTCTCCATTGACTAATCAGGAGAACTACGACATGGTGTCTGGCCAGGCATGCGAATATATGCACTCTGTTCTTCTTGGCGTCACCAAGCAGCTGACGGAGCACTTGCTGGATTCCTCCAACTCTGCCGTAAGGTTTTACATTGGTAAGAATGGGGATGTCTGTGTAGGCCTCATATTTACATACAGTTTGTAATGCAAATGACGAAGTTATAAAATACTTTAACTAAGACAAATCTTAATTCTTTGAAGCCAATCACCTCACAAGTACTATTAATGAAGGCATCTTTTTATTTTCAAGGTTCAACGCTACAAGTAGGGTTCTGCGTTTTCAAACAAATCCGATAAAATAAATTTTGTCGGTTCGAATTCATCCGAAAGATTCAGCATTTTCGGGACTGCTGGCTGTCATGAACTCGACCGGTAATTATATGTTTCCGGAATCTTCTAACAAGTTTTGTGCTTTCTTTTTTCAGCGCGATAGCTGTATTATGGACGTTTTATGGGGTTTGTGATGTCTGTTGTTGGTCGTAAGCGCTATCAACCTCGCAGGCTTCCCTGTCTTCTCACACGGAGTTCTCCTACACGCATGCTTCCCCACTCCCCCGCCTCCACCTCCTAGCTCCTCGTTTGCTGCAGATCATCCTCCTCACCTGTAATATGGCCACTGTGCGTCTGCACACGTGTACAAAACGCTGCCCCCATTGACCCTTGCTAGGAGGCGTTCCAGCTAGGAAGCTTATTCCAGCATGCGGCAGACCAGAGGACTCATCGAAATGGCATAGCCACGCAAAGTGCGCATCGTGTCGTGTTTGTGTGTGTGTGCGCGAAGGCGCCAGCGTATGTGCGCGCTTTATTGAACTGCGCCAGCACGAAGACCAATGGAAGTTCCTGGACGCTGTACTAGACAATAATGTTTTATTATTATTATTATTATTATTATTATTATTAATATTATCTTTTGACGATTTGTTGGGCGGAATCTAACGAAAACTATTCTTCACAAGCCCTCTAACGCCGTGCTGCTACCGAGCGTGCTCCGTTCCGTTCACTTTCTCTGCTGGTCTCTCCCTGGCTCGTCATCATCTTGGCCCTTTCGCCTCCGTTCTACATTTAAACGTGCGTCACCTCGTCATTGCTGCGCCGCTGACCAGCTCCCTCGTCGCCTACATGCCGCTTCGTGACGCCCCTTGCTGCGCTATTTTCAAAATATAAGACTGTGGAAAAGACGCGCACCCTTGCAGTCGGCAGTGGCTTCTGCGACCGAACATTTATGACAGTTTATTTGTATAGGTGAGAGGACATATACCTTCCCGATTTTCTTTGCTTTTTTGTTTTTGTTTTGCCCTCCGATATAACGTGTCATTTCTCAATTGATCATGAAGGCCTCAAGTGAGTGCCTCGTTAGTTTTAAAGATGTTTCGCCTGATGGCAAATACATGGTTTGTGTGGCATGTAAGCGCACTTGCCACCTGGGGTCCTGCGGGGGGTCGAAGAGTCTACCTACACCACAGTGGGTGCTGAGAAAAGAGCGAAATGGCGTTGCCGCACTTGCCGTTCTGCTGATTTTGCACCTGCGTCAGCAAGCGTGGCTAAAGTTCCTGAGGGCGACTCCCCTTCGGAAACCCAGTTCAGCGCAGTAGTGGCCAATTTGGACGTTTTATTGCCTATGAGGGCAAGTGTCGGCACACTGCTTACGCTCCCAGCTAAGATTGACGCACTGTTAACACTGAAGCCTGCCGTGCGAAATCTTCACGAGGCAGTTAAAAAACTCCAAGAGGCAGGAGATGACCGCACAACAAAATATCACTGGGAACTCAGCAAATCAACAAAAATGGGGAGAACGTTGAAAAAGGGAAAGTCGAACTAGCGGGGGTAGCCGCTACTGTGAAAAACCAAGAGTCAGCAAATTCGTAGTGACGTAAATTACATGGAACGACGCAGTTGCCTGACGAACTGGGAAATCAACGGAATGCCACACACCAGGGACGAATATTTATAAACGGTCATTGCCGAGCTCGCAGCGAAATTGAACCTTCCTCATTTCTCGGAAACTGTCCTTCTTGCTATTCACAGGCTATCGTCAAAGCGCGACGTCGTGCCTGCTATAATAATAAGGTTTTCATCCGCGAGGGTCTGGGAAGCGTAGATGGGTTGCCGTGATTTGCTGCGTACGCTTAACAAACCGGAAGACCTACCAAAGATTTATTTTAATGAAAACCTTACACGTCTAAACAGAGTACTTTTCTGGGTGACCAGAAAAAAGGCCAAGGAATTACACTTTAAATTTGACTGGGTCAAGGGGGGCAAGGGTTTCGTGAAAAATGAGGAGGGCGCGCCACTTATTCGAGTGAACACCGTGGACGACGTTGGAAGCATGCGATAGAGGAATAACAGCTCTTTTTCAACAATGCGAGTATTTCAGAGTCCTTAAAAAAAATGGCTAAATATTAAGCAACATCTTTTCTTGGCAAAACATGTGAATATACGAGGCATAAGCAAATATTGGGACCTCTCTAAAGTTTTGACTAAGAATGTGATGGTAAATACGGACGTTTTCGTACTAACCAAAAGTATAATATATCTGAGGACTGATGGAACCAATTCAAACTGAAGGGCTTGAAATCCTTCTGATTTTCTCGATCAAAAATGGGGATGGGTGTATTGTGGTCTCTGTGAAACACACGTGGCTGCTGTGAAGCAAGGTAGCGAAGCAGGATATATCTGAGGTATGTGATTATCTCAACATATTGGCTCGTGAAGGCGTGGAATGCGTCATCAATGCTACTACGGCAGAAAAAATTTTAGTAGATAAATTAGGTTCGTTATCAATTGACCATATTTGTGCAGGAGCTCGAAATGATGTGGCTATGTCTTCAGTTATCTCCCAAGATCTAGCCGATCATTGTTTTATTGCATGCAGATTTGGGACGATTACGGAGACGAGGATAGATGGTGATAATAAACATAAAATGCAAATCATAGACAATGATGTACTTGACCGACTTATTTCGTCCTTCGACTGGAGGTCATTCCGCGAGTCAGTTTCTGAATTCAATGTTCACGCAAAATTCGTAGAGCTTATCAAATCATTCAACGGCTTATCCAAACCTACTGTGACAATAAAAAAAATACGGAGACCCCAGTGTGTCTGGTTAATTGAGAACGTCCTCGCCGCCATTAAATAAAAAGACGTTCGATGGACTCATAGTTGCCGAGCACCGGGACGAATTACGTTCCGAGTTCCGCGTAGTGAGAAACAGTGCTATTGTATTACTTCGTTCCGCGAAACGACAACATTTTAAGGGAAAGTTTGAAGAGGCGCATGACAGCTCTGCGGAGACTTGGTCTATTGCTAAATATCTGCGAGGATGGAATTGTAGGCGAACTGTGGACAACGTGATAAAGTGTAATTTCGCTGAAAACTTCGCGGATGTAACGGAATGTTTCAATTCTTTTTTGTAAATCCCACCAGTGTCCCACAATGTACGCTTGAGCCTGAGGTTGATATAGAAAATTATGAGACCTCTGCTTTTCTCTTTCCAATAAAAGAAGATGACTTGCGCTCTTCGCCCTTCAGCATTAAACATACCAGGTCGCCTGGCACAGATGGCATAAATTCCGGTATTCTTCAGCGTAATTTTGAATATGTTTAAGTTTTCAGGATGAACAGCTTAATTCCTGACCAGTTAAAGACTGCTGTTGTTAGGCCCATATTTAAGGGTGGCCAATCTAAAAATATAAAAAAATTACCGTCCAATCTCGATTCTACTCGTGCTGGGACCAAATTTTGAGAAACACATTTTTTACATTTTCAATAATTTTACTTGAGAAGTGCTCACTGTTATCTAGCACGTAGTGCGGCTTTGTTTGTGGAAGTAGTATACAGCAACTTTTGGAAGATGTGGCTGATGAGATATATTCGGCATTTAAGGTAACATGTTCTCTTGTGCGGTAATCTCAGATGTTAGTAAAGCGTTTCATACGGTAAACCACGAACGTTTACTAAAAAAAGCTATGGAAATTCGGTTTCCGTGGTTGTTTCCATTCATAGTTAGCGAATCTGTTGGACAGAGGGGCATAGGACGTCTGTGTAAACAAAGTAAACAGTACCTTGCAGTTTTTACGAGCCGGTGTTCCTCAGGGATCTTTGTTGTTTCCTTTGTTTATTAACATTTATGTTAATGACTTGTAAACTGTTATTTATGAATATAGATCATTTTAATATTCGGATGATACTTTACTTGTTTCACGTCCTGTAGACATTCCCAAAGCTGTAAACATTGTGCAATCAAATGTTGTCCACCTAATGGATTGGTATAATTCTAATCAGATAAAGGTTAACCCCCTAAAAACCCAACTTATTTGTTTTCAAATCTTTTAAAGCCGGGTTTTTTCATGTTCCTTTTTGCCTGCAAAGTTCAACTTGTAAAACCTCCTCTTGTACGCCTGTGCCCTGGGAAGACTCCACTAGATATATGGGACTCATTTTTGAATTTGATATGTCCTGGAATAAACAGATGGCTCACGTATGTTGAACTCTAAGAAAAGTGGCTTGCATTATGTATAATACAAAAGTGATTGTACCTTTCACTGTTAAAA